TCGTACGTACGTACGTGTGTGTGTGTGTGTGTGTGTGTGTGTGTGTGTGTGTGTGTGTGTGTGTGTGTGTGTGTGTGTGTGTGTGTGTGTGTGTGTGTGTGTGTGTGTGTGTGTGAAAGCAAGCTGGGCTGCCAGCAGGAGTATGTCCCTTCCGTTGGTGTCTGTTGTTGCCTGTAGCCCGTGTCGGGTGTTTGTGTGCTTGTTGGTGTCCAAATCGTACCTACCTGACTGCCCCCGTGTGTTGTGCATGCCTTGTTTTGGCTTTGTGGCCTCTTTGCTTTGCGTTGCTCTGCTGCGTTTGCTTGCTTTTGTTCTTGGTGTGGGTGTTGCGTGTGATGATGTGAATGACCAGCAATGCAAGCAAAACCATCCACGCTCAGTGCAACTGTCTTTGTCTCGTGCCTTGTGGGTGGTTGGGAACATGGATTGAGGGACGAACGTGGCGCCCGTGAAGGAGGGGTTCTGTTCGCTGATGTTGGAGGGGTTCTGTTGGCTGATGAAGGAGGGGTTCTGTTCACTTATGTTCAGACGAAACCACGACACCTAGACGACGACAACCAACAAAAATCCACACCAGCCAGCCAGCCCGCTTTCATGTACAGTGGTAGCAGTGTCACGCATGGGTCGCCATCGCAGTAAGATGGCGGCGAATCAGCAGGGAAGGGAGCCAACACACCCAACACACACACGCACATGCCAGTGACACAGCAACCTGGCACCACAGCGTCACACAGCATGGCGATGAGTGGTGTTGATGAAGTGATGATGCATCACTGCACGTGTGGAGAGCGGGGCGGCCAAGGAAGCGCGGCGAGAAGAGGAAGCACGACGATGGTGACGAGCATGCCCAGCAGCTTTCGCAGCACCTCTGTTGGTTGGTGGTGTTGGGGGCGAATGTGAGAAAGGGCAATGTGGGGGGGGGGAATCGATCAACCATGGAGGAAAACAAGCAAGAGCACAAGTGCGAGTACACGAAAGAGCATGCACCACACACCACACACACACACACACATCACACACACACACACATACACACCCACACCCACACCCACACCCACACCCACACACACACACACCCACACACCCACACACCGGCAGCGGAGAGGGTGTGTGAGTCGCTCTCCTCTTGCGATATTGGAATGAAATCCCGCCAGGAAATGCCGGACAAAAACTCCCAGACAAATGACACCTCGTCTTCATCACCACCACCATCGTCACCACCACCACCACCACCATCATCACTGCCGCCGCTACCAGCAGGAAGACTGGGTGCTTTCGCGTGGCGGCGGCGTTGGCGCGGTGACGGCGAAGGAATCGGCGTTCCCATGAGCAGACCGTGATCGTCGTCGTCATCACCGCCATCGCCCGCAGTTGCTGAAAACGTGCCCACATCCTGCAGCTGCGACCCCCTGGTGGTGGGCACGGCCTGTGCCGGGGTGGGCGCATCAACCGTACTGCTGCTGCTGCTGCTGCTGCTGCTTGCACGACCCGATGATGACGACGACGATGATGATGATGATGTACCTTGCTGGGAGGGTGGTGCTGCGGTGGCTTTGCTGCGCGCCTTGGAGGTCGCGCGAGTGTTGCGCCCAGTGGATGAGGAGAACGGCGCTGACACGGTCGCCCATGCGGCAGATGCGCGGCTGGCGACAGCGGTACACGCAGACAAAATGCGGGGTGGAACGTAGCGGCGCACGCGCGCAGCGGCGGCGGTGGCCATGTGGTTGTAGAAGGCCTGAAATGCGCGCAGCAGGGCGGCGGGATCGGTGGACTGCACGTGCGCGTGCACGACGCGCGCCATGGCCACGAGGTCATCTGTGGCCAAGTTGGATGCAGCCTTACCCGGATGGCTCTTCACCCACAGCTTGACAAACGTGCGGCGTGTGAGGAACACAAACACGACGTGCTTGCGCAACGCCTGGTCTGTTGGCGGGTGCGCTGCTTTGTTCTCCGCAGGCAGCAGCGATGGATCCCACATCAGCACGCACGTCTCGTCGCCTACAATGTGTGTGTGGGTGTGTGGGTGTGGGGGTTGGGGTTGATCGTGTGAGTTTGTGTGTATGTGTGGAATCGTGTGTAATTGGAATTGTGTGTAATCGTGTGAATGTGTGAGCGAGTGAGTAGACAAGATTACAAGCGCAAGCAAACGATACGACAACGAACAACAGTGCACACACACGCACACACACACGCGCGCGCACAACAATGCATACACACACGCACAAGCCAGCAGTGACGAGGAAACGACGGCTACAAGAACACCACAACGTACCGATGGATGGGGAGGTGGTGGTGACGTTGAGGAGCACCATGTGCGGCACAAGCGTCTGCACCTGCTTGTCCCAAAAGTACCAGTAGTACGCGCGCGCGTGGGCCTCGGAGCGGAAGGTCTTGGTGACGAGGATGGCAGAATCCAGCGTGTCGGGGAAAGAGGGGAGGCGCTTGGCCTTGTACTTGGTCTCCACGCACTGCATGCCGCGGAAGTGCTTGAAGCCCACGTCAACGTCGGTGCCGTAGTCCCCACAGCTCTCGGTCTGCTCGATTGGCGAAGAAAGAGAGGCAGCAGCGAGTTGTGCAGTGCGTGGTCAGTGTGGCGAAGCAAGCAGTACAAGTGATTACGCATGCATGCATTGGCTGTCTGCTTTTGTGCGTCGTGGGGGCGCTCTCTGGCTAACGTACAACATGTGGACACACAAACGGAGCGGCCCAACACAAAAAGAGCTGCATACAACACACAGGGTCGCGCACACCACACAAACAACACCCAAGCGTACACACATACAGACACACAACACATCCACAAGTAGTCGACAGCAAACACACACACAGACGCACAGGCACACGCATACAGACACACAATACATCCACAAGTAGTCGACAGCAAACACACACACACACACACACACACACATGTACACAGACAGCGTCATGCTCACCGTAGCGTGGTAGGAGACGTTGGTCAAGGTGAACCCTTGGTTCCTCGCCAGCTCTGAGGGGACCGGGTGAATGGATTCCAGGTCCGTGGTGCCGAGGCCGAAGAACCCAATGACGAGGATGGCGAGTGCAGCCACCATGCTGGCGGTGATGCAGCCCATGAGCAAATTGGAAATGCTGAAGAAGTCGGCAAGAAGCTCGCGCATGATCGGGCCTGCACGTGCTCTGAAGGGCAGCGCAGCGCCATGGCCAGCAAGGCCTCCAGCGCCTGTGCTGCCAGCGCCAGTGGCAGTGGCACCAGCTGTTGTGCCGCTGCTGAGTGATGACGCTGTTCTCCGCACGCGCTGCTGCTTCTTTCGTTTGGCCAGCATCGCCGCGGCGGTTTCCCAACAGACCACTGTCACGTGTGTAACCACGACAACAACGCAAGAATTGTGTGTGTGTGTGTGTGTGTGTGTGTGTGAGGAGTAGGGGGTCTGAAGTGCACAGAAGAGCAAGTTGAAGGCAAGGATGTGTGTGTGTGTGTGTGTGGTGCAGGCACAGAACAGCACAGTGTGCTGCTCTCGTCATCACGTCATCGCATCATGTCTCGCCAACACTACACCACCACCACCACCACGCAAAGACAACAACAGCAGCGCAGCACCTGCCTGCGCCAGCAACGTTGAGATGTGCGAAGCGTGTGCCGTTGCGCCACTCTGTTTTATGATGTCGCAAGCCGAGTTTTGGTTTGCGCGTTTTTTTGCTGACGAACGAATCGTTGGTGGCGATGGCAGCGAAGACGATGCCTTCGATGCACCGATGCGCAGCTACAACACCCGCAAACATGGGGGTTTGCTGACCACATTCCAAGGACAAGACAACAAGAACACACGAGACAACAACAACAACAAGAAGAGCACTGCGTTGTTGTTGTCGCTGAAGGAGGGCTGAGGAGAGCAGCAACTTTGGCGTCGCCCAAACTTACCCCCTCCCCTTGAGTTGCTTGCCAGCCAACCAGACTCGGCAGCGAACGCGAATGCACCACACACAGCAAACCGTTTGACGCATTCATTGCCCACAAACCCCACACCACACACATCAACACACACCCCACTCAGCACACCACAAACAGCAACTACAACCACAGCATCCACACCACACCAACAACCGAGATCATATCACCCAGCACACCACAACTGCAGCAGCATGAGGGTGTTGCGACTCGCCCTGGTGGCGATCGTTGTGGCGACCATCACCGTGGCAGCGCTGCCAAGGTCAACAGCAGCGGCATCATCACACCAGCCCAGCCAACAGCTCGTTCGACGAGATGAAACACAACAACAGCAACAACAGCAACAACAGCAGATCCTTGATCTCTCGGCCACCAGTGAGTGTTCATGTGCAGTTGTTGGAACACTTGTGCATCCTGTATATCCTGTGCATCCTGTATATCCTGTGCATCCTGTACATCCTGTACATCCTGTACATCCCGTGTTGTCTCGCTTCATGCACCCACCTGCCTTCCAGTTCACGGCTCAATCGCCTCACCCTCTTCTTTTCATCCCTCCCCCCCCCTCTCCGCTCTTCCCTGTCTTCTTCTTCTCCTCCTCTCTTCTCACCTTTATTCTTCCCTTCTCGCCGCGTCTTTCCCATCTCCAACTTCTTCCACCTGCTTCTCACCCTTTCGCCTCTTCTCACACCTCTCCATCACCTCACTTCTCCATCAACTCACTGTGCCTCCACACACCAAAATGTTTTCAGATGCGTGGGTGGTGCCCCACGCTGCGCTGGACAGCATCGTCGTCAGCACCGTCATCACCACCAGCCTGGAGGCATGCCTTGACGCGTGCGACACAGAGGCGCAAAGCTGCCGCAGCGTCAACTACCGCGCCCTCTCCGATACATCAAACTCAAACCGCGAATGCAGCCTGCTCGCATCCAACATCACGCTGGCGTCCCTGCAGCGCGGGGAGAACGTGGGCACACACGCACAGCGCAAGGCGGAGGCATACTCCTGCCCAAATGGCACCTACATCAACCACGCCGGATCATGCCGCGCCACATCCACGTGCCAGCCCACCCAATACGAGCGGTTTCCTGCCGCAGCCATCGCCGACCGCGTCTGCGCCTCGTGCGAGCAAGGGTACACGGGTCTGGTTGCCAGCACGGAGTGCACCGAGGCCATCCACATCTCCTTCGATATGATTGCGTCGCCATCGTCCCCTTCATCAGCAAACGCCAGTGCAAACGCCAACACGTCCTTGCTGACGCCCGCCAACACCGCGGACGTCATTGCCGCCACAATCATCGACCTGCGCAATCGCATCAACGCCAGCAGCCCAACGCTGCTCATGTGGCGATCCGCCACCATCAACGGCGACACGGCTACCGTCTCCTTCTACGTGGCGTACACCGAGCAGGCCGACGCCCTGCGCAGGGTCGTTGTTGACCAGGCATTTGCCTTCACCGACACCGCAAACAACATCACGCTGACGGCGGTGGCGGCATCGTTTGTTGCTGTCGATCCCAACGACACCGGCAATGGCGATGGTGACGGCGACGGTAGCGGGGGGCGAGCGCTGTCGCTGACGCTCTGGCTCGTCATTGGCGCGGTGCTGCTGGCGGTGGTGATTGCGCTGGCCACCGTGCTGCACTGCCGCGCACGCGCGCGCCTGCGCCTGAACGAAGACAGCGTGGAGAAGCAGTACTTCTACGGCGACCCGCACCAGCAGTCCCAGCAGCTGCACGAGCAGCACGAGCACATGAACCCGCACGACCCCGCCGTCACAAAGAAGAAGCAACAGAGGCAGAAGCAGAAGCAAAAGCAACAGCAACAACAGCAGAAGCCACGCCGGCAAGACAAGCGATCTTCCTCTGGCAGCGTGGTGGCGGATTTGATGGAGCTGCAATACCCACCAACCGTGCGCGGCACACGCAAGCAGCGCAGGGCAAGCAAGCAGCAGCAGGCGTACAACGAGGAGATGGTGTCGCACCTCCACACGTGGAAGAAGCTGTCCCTCACGCCTGCACTGCCCATGGATGAGACGGGAAAGACGAAGAACCCCATCTACGATGAGCTCTCGATTCGCAGCCGCGCAATGTCCACCGCATCCTCCCGCGCCCCAACGGTATGTGTGTTGCTGTCTGGGGGTGAGGGATGGGGGTTGTTGTTTGCTTGTGTGTGTGTGTGCGTGCGTGTTTGTGTTTGTGTGTGTGTGTGTGCGTGTGTGTGTGTGTTGTTTTGTTTGCTTGTGTGTGTGTGTGCGTGTGTGTGTTGCTTTGTTTGCTTGTGTGTGTGTGTGTGTGTGTGTTGCTGTGTGTGTTTGTTTGCGTGACTTTCCGCATTTCGACACCGAATCACTGACGACTGTTTGTGGTATTGCTTTGCATCACCAGGTCATGTCTGCGTCGTCCACAAGGACTTCCCGAGCAGGTACCAACCGGCGTTTGCACGATGATGCTCTTCCTCTTTGTGTGCAAAATGTCAGCTGCTTGTTGTTCACACTCTCAAGCATGTGCACAAACGCACACACACACACTCACAACACTCACACTCACGCACATGTACACACACTCACACACTCACACACTCACACACGCACACTCACGCACACAACACGTACAGCAACGCCCAATCCACAAACACATGCGCTCGAGGCGCCAGACGCATACGAAACACTCGACGATATCCGACCTCAGCAGCAGGAGCAGGAACAGGGAGAGCAGGCACAGCATGAGCAAGCGCAGGCGCAACGACAGGACCAAGAGCAAGTGCAAGCAAAACAGGAGCAGGAGGAAGCACAGCCCGAACCGCACGTGCGAACGTACGAGGAGCCCGTGTACGATCGGGCGCGGTCGGCAAGCTCATCGTCCAACGCAACACAGGGCATCCCATCCCGCAACACATCCACGCGCCAGCAGCGGCGGCAGCAGCGCGGAAGTGGCGGCGATGATGGTTACGACCGAGCCGAAAACATCATTGCACCAGAGGCGCTTGCAGCCGTGCGTGAGGAAGCGCAGGAGGACGAGGAGGAGGACAGAGGAGACAGCGGTGAGGATGGGCCGTATTACTCAAACATCAAGGTCACCGATGCGGATGTGGAGGTGATGGATGACGCCGAGGGTGGCATACCTGCAGGCACCACGGAGCCGAAGCCCTCCGCAGCTGCTGTGGATGGAGACGGAGACGGGCCATACTACTCCAACATTGCCGAGGCCGCTGCTCCTGATGATGATGATGATGACGACGACGATGACGACGATAATGGACGGTACACCAAGATGCTGGATGAGGGCGATGTGGCAAACAACGTTGGAGGCCGAGCACGAGACGACAAGGAAGAACAAGCGGGAGAACCGGAAGAGGAAGAGGATCCATATGACAACACCGTGTCGCACTACCACAACCTGGATGATTTGGGCAACACCAAGTACCACGATTTTGAGTTGGACGAGACGAAGACGACCGCCACGTCGTTCAGTGCTGATGCGCTCGAGGATGTCAACACCAATATCACCGCTCTCCTCACACAGGTGTGTGTGCTTGTTGCATGTGTGCATGTGTGCTTGCATGTGTGCTTGTGTGCTTGCATGTGTGCTTGCATGTGCGCATGTGTGCTCGTGTGTGTGCGCTGGCATGTGTGCATGTGTGCATGTGCTCGTGTGATGTGGCTTGATTTGATAAACGCTTTGCTCGTGGCTGAACTGAGCAGACTCACACCACTGCCCTTCTTGTTGTGCACAGGCAAACGCGTTCGATTTGCGCCTGGACCCAACACAGTTTGTCTTTCGCGGCGTTGTTGGCGAGGTGAGCACAGGTGGTGTGAATTGTCACAGCTGCAGTGGTGTCACACCGTAAACAGCGTGCTGGAACTGTGGCGTGGCTGCTGTGTTAGTCTCACTCAAACTCACATCTGCGTACGCATGCTCACACACACAACCCCCCCCCCCAAAAAAAAAACCAACAACAACAACAACAACAACAACAACAACAACAACAACAACAACAACAACAACAACAACAACAACAACAACAACAACAACAACAACAACGCATAAACGTGTTTCAGGGCGACTTTGGAACACTGGCAAAGGCAAAGTTGGTGCCGCGTGACGGCGACGATGAGCGCTCTGTGATGACGCTGGTGTTTCTCACCGATGACTTTGCACACAAGGGCACGGTCTTGCTCGAGCTCGCCCTGAAGCTCAAGGAGATTGACTGCAACTACGTGAGTGGCCACTGTGATGTACTTGGGCATTGTTTGCGAGTTCCGCATGTGCTCTTTCCATTCAGTTTGCAGCACACAAGAGTACAAGTAAGTACAAGCGCACGTCTGCACGATACACTCACTCTCACACCCCCACTTCACACATCCACCCGTTTCCACGTGTGCACAGGTTGTCGACTGTTTGGGCATTGCCTTGCAGCAGCCAAAGCTGATGGTGGCGCTTGAGTTTGCCATGGGCGATACGCTCCAGTCGTACTTTGCGCAAGATGACCGCAATGATGAGCAGACGCTCATGTACTTCCAGGACATGCTGCTTGGGCTGCAATTCTGCCACAAGCACGACGTGTTGCACACCGACCTGCGGAGGTGTGTGCTGTCGTGTGGGATGGGTGTGGAAGGCGGAAGAATCGGTTCTTTCGCTGTGGATGGCGCAGCCTTGTTGAACACATGCGTGCGTGTGCGTGTGTGTGTGTGTGTGTGTGTGAGTGTGTGTGTGTTTGATTTGTAGTCTCATGTGGCTGACACGTGTTTGTTGAACACCCCTGTTGTTGCTGCTGCAGCGCACATGTTTGGTTGTGCAAGGGCCAGGCCAAGTTGTTTGACTTTGGATTTGGCCGTCGCCTCTCCGTGAAGGACGACAACCTCTCTCTCAGGTGCGCATGCCTGCGTGCGTGGATGTTTGTGTGTGTGGATGTGTGTGTGTGTGTGTGTGTGTGTGGATGTGTGGATGTGTGTGTGTGTGTGGATGTGTGGATGTGTGTGTGTGTGGATGTGTGGATGTGTGGATGTGTGTGTGTGTGGATGTGTGGATGTGTGGATGTGTGTGTGTGTGTGTGTGTGGATGTGTGATTGTTTTGCACACGTGTCCCTGTCTTGCTTATGTGGAATGTGAAAATGATGGCACAGGCGTGACACAACAACTCTAATATCCCCAACCAACCCCCGTCACACACGCACACGCGGCCAATGTGTTAACAGGTGGATGGCTCCCGAAGTGTCTGTTGAGCGCAAATACACGAAGCAGGGCGACGTGTACAGTGCTGGTATGGTGCTGTACGAGTCTGCGCTTGGAGGCGAGCTGCCCTTCAGCGACAAAATGTGGACGGCAAAGGAAATCATGCAGCACGTGCGCAATGGGTTCCGCGCGCCAAAGCCACGCGGGCTGGCGCAAAGCCTGTATGACATGTGTTTGTCGTGCTGGTCGGAGGATCCGGCGTGCCGGCCATCCATCGCGCAGATGCTGTCTGACATTCAGCTGTCGTTGCAGCATGCCCGGGAGCAAGCAGAGGCACTCGCGGCAAAGCGGGGCACCTCAATGCGTGCAAGCACACGCCTGTCACCGGCATCTGCGGCCTCTGTGCGGCGGCGCGACCAGCAACAGCACCATCAGAAGCACGCGCACGCCCAACGCGCAGGAAACGCGTCCACAGCCGCATCGACATCGACATCGACATCGCCGCTGTCGGGGCTGTCGCGGGAGGCGCCGCGTGCGCGCTCGCGCAAGGCGACAAACACGCTGGCTGCAATGGCCGGGCGGCTGTCACGCTCCGCATCCAACGCAGCAAGTCTGGCGCATCAGGACTCGCAGAAGTCCATTGCCTCCGACGGCACGGACGAGTGGGCGCACATTGCCAAGACAGGGTCGCTGGCGCCAGGAAACCGGCAGGCGTCGAACGTGTCGCAGGTGAGCGGGTTCAGCGACGTCAACTACTCGAGCGCCATGGCGAGCCGGTCCAACTCGTACTACACGATGATGGGGGACGTGAATGTGCCGCAGCGGCAGTCTGCGATTTCGCTTGGTGGACGGAGCGACCAGTTCCGTGCAGGCAAGGAACAGCACCAGCAGATGCAGATGGAGCAGCAAATGCAACAGCAACAAGCGCAACAGCAACAAGCGCAACAGCAACAAGCGCAACAGCAACAAGCGCAGTCAGAGCGAGAGTATGTGCAAGAGCAGCAGCAGCTTGTGAAGCGGAGGGAGTCTGGGTACGTGCTGTCCACCAACTGGAACACCAACACGACTGCCCCGGCGATGGCTGGGTATCTTCCCATGCAGGGTGCAGGCATGACGATGAGCGGGCACCCGGACGCGCCGCCCGCAACGGCAGCGGACAGCGCAAGGAAGACGTCGGCGCCGTCACCAACAGCACCAGCAGCGGCAACAGCGTTGCTGCAGCAGACAGCCGTGGGCGCACCACCCCAGCGCAAGCGCACAGGCTCGCCCTTGTCTGCCGTTGCGGGCGCTGATGATGGCGACGCGGCACAGAATGTGGGCACGCTTGACCGCAGCTTCAGTGTGAATCCACGGCTGTCGATGAAGAGGACCCCTGGTGCGGAGGAGAGCCCATACGAGGAAGGATGCATGGCACCGGCAGCAGTCAACGTTGTCAACCTCCCACGCGCCGTTCAAGTGCAGGTGCGCGAGCGTGTGTGGGTTGAGGGGGGGGGGGAATTACGTGTTCGTGCGTGTGTGTGTGTGTGTGTATGTGTACCCGTGTGCGTGCGTGCGTGTGTGAGTGAGTTGGGGATTGTGTGTGTGTGTGTGTGTGTGTGTGTGTGTGTTTGTGTCTGTTTGTATGAGTATTTGTGTAATTTGCGTGTGTGCGAGTGTGTTTTTGTGTATTTGTGTGTTTGTGTCTGTGTTTGTGTAATTTGTGTGCGTGTGAGTTGGGGGATTGTGTGAATTCTTGTTGGTGCTGTGGCTGTGCCTTCGTGTAGTGGACGGCGCAACAGCGCGACACCATCCCGCGTTGCTTCTGTTTGCTGACATGCACTTCTTGTTTTTGTGGTTGTTGTGCACAGACGCACGAGTACGAGGACATGGGAGAGCAAATGCACTCGCGAACGCCGACGCCACCGCAAGTGACGGACGCAACGACAGCAGAGAACGACGCGCCCCCACCGCTTGTGCAGCGCGACAGCGACATCATCCTCGGCCCCAGCATCCTGCGAAAGCAAGGCATGTTCAACTCACCGGCCAATGACACGCCCGACGCAAGCAGGAAGGCGACATTGCGCAATGATGGCGGGCAGGATGCGCTGGCAGCGATGACGTCATCCGGTGAGCAGGAGCAGCTGGACGAGATTTACCACAACATGGCGACGCGCACGGTTCCAGAGGGCCAGGCGCCCGTGCTGGTTGAGGCTGTGGGCAACGACTCTGACGATGAGGATGCACCTCGACCACAGGGGCTGTCGGACAACAACTACCTCACGCCGCGCGCGTACCTGGAGCCTGAGTGGCTGCACGGTGTGCTGTCTCGCAAGGAGGCAGAGGTCCTGATCAAGAGCAAGTTGCAGGGTGGCGGTGTTCCTGGCTGCTACTTTGTGCGCAGGAGGGCGGAGTCTGATCACTTTGTCATCACCGTCATGACAGACTGGTCAACCGTCGAGCACTTTCTCCTGGTGGGTGTACGTGTTGGGGGTGTTGGTTCAGGTTGGGGTGGGGTTGGGGGGTTGGGTTGTGTGTGTGTGTGTGTGTGTGTGTTGAGTGTGCGTTGAGTGTGCGTTGAGAGTGCGTTGGGTGTGTGTGTGTGTGTGTGTGTGCGTGTGTTGAGTTTGTGTGTTGAGTGTGTATTTTGTGTGTATTTTGTGTGTGTGTGTGTGCTGGGTGGCAATGGAGGAGGAATCGTCATTGTCGGTCATTCATGCGTACGTGAGCGTGTGTATTTTGCTTGATCTTGTGTGGTTGCGCTCTCCATCGCTTCCAAACACGTCGTTCTTTTGTGCATGCTCACCTCCATTCTGGCAACGTGCTGATTGATGCAGACATACGATCCCCAAGCCGGGTGGTACCTGAACAACGATGTGAGTGCGGCGTGCGGTAACCCGAGTGACAACCTTGTGTTTGTGCTTGAGAAGCTGCGTGAGAAGCGCGGTCGCTGGCGGCTGCCGCTGAACGCGCCCGTGACGTGCTTCAAGCGGCGGGACGAGATGGCACAGCCCGTGGCAGAGACACGTGTGGCCCGGGGCTCGGACATGCGCGCATCGCAGCAGTTCCAGCGCAACGCGACCGCAAGAAGAAGCACCCTGCTGTGAGAAGGGGGAGACCCTGCTGTGAGAAGGGTGTGTGTGTGCTGTTTTGGTCTTTTTCTTGTTTGCGAACTTGTAGCATTGCATGACGATTTTGTTGATATTTGGTGATTAGCACCAATCAGGAGATTGAGGGATGCGCGCGGGTGTTGTTGGGGTGTGTGGGAGATGGACTGGCTGAACCTGTTGTGTTTGCATGGAGGCAAAGGGGGGGGGGGAGGGGGTGATGCGAGGAAGGTCGTGGTGGTCGTGTGGTTGGTGTGGTTGTCGCTGTGCTTGGTTCTGTTGACATACACGTACTGAATTCAGTTTCCACCCCCGAAAACGCCACAACGAAAAACGAACAAGCACACAACAACAACAGCGAGACAAGCAAGAGGTGCTGTGGTGTGTTGTTGGGGGCAGACCTGACCGACCAACACCACTTTGCTTTACATCATCACATCACGGCGGCGCTGGGTGCAGGCACAATACATAGATAGACAGATTGATGGAGAAGGTGGTACCGGCAGCCGATGTCGGCGCGCAGGTGAACCGCGGCGGGATCAAAACCAGGGATCAGGACACCCCCGTGCTGCTGGAGGACGGGGACGATGGCGGGCATGATGTTCTGGATGTTGATGACGGTAGCGATGATGACGGCGAGCAGGACACAGCGGTGTACTCAAGCGACGACATGGACGATGATGATGATGATAACGACGACGACGAAAGAAGAGGAGGAGAAGGAGGGGACCACACCAGTGAGGATAAGACGTGCGATGAGACGTGTGTGCTGTGCTGTGTTGTGGTGCGAGGTGTGGTGTGATGTGTGGTGTGAGGTGGTGTGTGGATCATGTGTGGTGTGGTGTGAGGTTTGATGTGAGGTGTGCTGTGGTGGGTGGTACGCAGTTTTGGGTGTGTGTTCTGACGTCGTGCATGCATGCGCTCGCATCGCTCACAGGCCAAAGAAGTTGTCCTCGCTGATCCCTTCGCCGTTTCCAACACGATTACCGGTCAGTTTGTGTGTGTGTTAGGTGAACGTTGTATGCTTGTGTGCGTTGCGTGTGCGTGTGTGTGTGTGTTGTGTTGTGTGTGTGTGTGTGCGGTGAACGTTGTATGTGTGTGTGTGTGCGTTGTGTGTGTGTGCGGTTTATGTTTGTGTGCGGTGCGTGCGTGTGTGTGTGTGTGTGTGCGTGCAACTGTGATAGTCTAACACGGTGGCTGCACTGTTGCGCGTGTTTGCAACACAATTAGGTGCTTCGATTCTCGTACGGGGGCGACAACGTGGAGGTGGAGGGCTTGGATCCAAAGCTGCGCGAAGGCTTGAGATGGAAGTTCCAGTCCACAACCCCAAATCTCGTCAAGAAGATGGTTCGTCGCATCGGCTTTCACATCACCGAACGCGTAAGTGCAGGGGCAAGGAAGATATGTGCGTGTTTGTGGTGGGGGAAAGGAGGGGGGGGGGGAGAAGGTGGCACGCCGAGAAGTTGGGGCGTTCGCTCACGTGCTGTTTTTGTGTGTTGTACAGAACGGGTGGATTGGTACGTGGGGCAAGCACATCAAGGCCACCTCGTTTCGTCATCTCCGCGCCGACCAAAAGCTCAACCACTACCCCAGGTGTGTGTGTGTGTGGT